AACTGGTAGGTAGATTAGAAAGGTGGGCATGGGTTCCACAGTAAATGTTTGTTCTTCTTCAAGGCATGATTTCACCAGTGTAGCTAGGTTTTGTGAAAAAATTGCTCCCTGCTGTGAAAATGGTTGAAAAGTCGTAGTTGTGAACGCGACCAACTACATGCAATACCACCTATTCTACCTTTCGAGGCGATGAGGCTAATAAGTCGACCGTAGTAAATTATTGTATACTACAGCGAACTTGGGAAGCCGTCTCTATCCAACACACAAGAAGCTAACTTCAGTATTACCGCCACGGTACCGTAACCCCAAGCGGCGCCCTTTAAATTGGAAGTCTGTCGTAGGCGCGCTAAAAAACTTCAGCACGGACGCTGAAACTACGCCGTTATTTCCTTTTTCTGGGTGGAAGAAAACGGATGTGTGTTTCGGATGTCGTTGTGAGGACTTCGATGTGAGGATGCCGGATCTATGCTGAACCACAGTTCGATATAACGGAAAAACCAAGACAATCCAGGGCTGAGTAAGCACCCATAGCACCCATACAGGTTAGAGGAGGAGCCCTGAGTGACATCGTGAACAGCCTTTATGACAGGAAAGTTGCTACTAATTGCACCATCAGTAGTTAGCATCGTCAGTACACTTTCTTTAGAATCAAGAAGCATTTCACGTGACCGTCATCAGTGCAAAACGGCAATTTACATAATGCTCCGATGAGAGAGCGAAGCGATGCTAGTCGCGTATATCCACCGATATTTGGGTGGAACGGGAGGACTTTCGCTGATAAGCTTTTCCATTTTTTTCAATATGAAATATTTTCAAGATTGCAAGTAAGCTCGCCGACTCGCACAGGGTCTCCGGTGTCTACGTCGTGACTTCTTAAAGGCAGTTGGCGCGAGTGGGAGCGGTTGCTGCCATCTCACTGGTATGAGGGCTTCTTGAGGTGTGGCCGAACGCACATTCTCACCCCTTCCACCAGTGACGTCGGCAGCAATCACCCGGCTCCAGCCTTCCAAAAAGGGTTGACTGCCAAAATTGGCAACGGTAAATGAAAGCTGGATCCTATACCACGAGAATCACGCTACTATCGAAGATTGCTTCAAGTGAACTGGCATCAAAGAAGCCTACAAACAGTTTGCGGTAAAGGAGGGTCTTCAGTGTTTAGCGACCGTTCTTCTCAGAAAATTTGCTCCCGCGAATCGTTTGTTGTTGATTGATGGAAATTAAACTCCACAGTGAGGCTTGGCTCAAGTGGACTTCTCTAGTGTTTAACTGGGCGGTGCCTAATGGCATTTTTGTAGCATGGAACTAATAGAAAATCTGAACTCCTGCATCCCCATTCATTCACTCTGGAGCCCCCATCTGTCAATCAGTGCTTGATAACGGGAGGGTGGATTGTGGGGCCGAAGGTGAGTGAGGGTTCACCTACTGATTGCTGGTCAAGTGTATACTGACTGTTAATGTTACAAGTTTCCTCAATGGCTGTGAAAAAACTGTAAGAAAAGTAGGGATGCTTTATTGTTGTTCGACTTCACACAGGAGGAAAAATTGATTGAAAACGTTGCTGAATAAAGTCTGTCGTCAACGGGAGCCTTCAATGTTTATTTGAAACCTGGTAAAGTATGACTCTGATAGATAGGTTCAGCAAATATTCCAGGGAAGACTGTCATGGCAGAAAGTAGGGGGGGGTTTTCAGAAGAATGCTGGTCCTACTTCAAGTCCAGTTGCCATCAAGACCTGTCAGTGCACCAGAAGACAAAGTGTACACTCACCTCCGATGACAGTGCCTGCCTTGGATCCGCAGCTGCAGCGCGTGCCACTTTCTTCGCTCAAAGTGAACGGGAACGGGGCTGTAGTGGGACCCGAGTGCCGTCTCGACATAAGGGAATATGGAGTGTGACGAGCGCGTGGCTTGGAGCGCAGAGCAGAGTCCTCTTCAACTGTACCAGACTTAAAATGGCACCTTCATTGGAACAGAAGCGCTCCGCCGCTTGCGTCGCACCTCATCCAGTTCGGTTGCACTGGATTGTGACTTGCACTCTGCCCGGCGCTTATGCCTTGCGCACTTGCAGTGCAGCACTTGCGTGGATACTAAAGTTCGCAGTAAAACTCGCACTCGGCGGTGAGAAGTTGGAGGGCGCAAGGACAGCATTTGGTTATGGCCAGGCCCCTGTTGGCCATGCGGGAGCACGAGGCAGAGTGTGGATTCGGCACGGAGATGACTACCCGTCAGCCCAAATACCGTTCACTTCCGAAGGGAGAAAGTCCAGGCCAACGCAGCTGCGAACCCCGTCTCTCCTCAGACGGGAAGGACTAAGACCACGAGTAAACATTTTGCCCTCTGACCTCATACATAAGACGATAGGTGGTCAAAGTACAGCTCGCAGTATCTAACGATTACTACTCGTTAGCTGCTTTATAGGGGCACTTCGACGACGGGGGATAGCACTTCGCACTTTTGCTACTTCCCATCGACGTCCTGGCGACTGTTTACAGAAGCCATTTCGTGAGCTCGACTGCAGTGACAGTGCTTCTTCTGATGCGGTAGACGAGCTTGCTCCAGCTCCACAAGAGCTCGCAGGTTTCACAAGAGTGAAACTCGCAAACCGGAAATAGTGAGGCAGCGAAAGTGCAAAGTGCCCCTTGTCCGCTAAATTGCGCCATTTACAGTAATTTCAGAGTATGAAAGTACTAAAGCGCTTGTTTTCTAACTCTGGGCCGGTCTAATCTTCAAACTTCTACCATTTGCCTTGCTCTTTTCTCACTTGCGAGCTGCCTGGGACATGCTTTGCGACGTGTTTTGAGATAGTAGTAGTAATGATATATTTACGAGATCGATCCGCTGCCAATCATAAAAATAGCGGCAAGAGCGTCCACCAAGCGTAGAACACGCTGCAAAAAGATCACGAATCGTCGCCAATACATTCTAGTGACATGAATGCTTGTACTACCGCGATGTCTTAAAGACACATGTACGCTCAAAACACATTGAGGGTGTATGAGACTAACAGCCCCCCAGCTGTCGATGTGTCGTGGTCCCCCCGCTCAAACATGCCCAGGAATGGAGATACAGGACCGTGGGAAAGGCTTATTCCTTGCTACTCCGCCCAAAATTCACCGCGCGCGAGTTGCATTTCGCCGCGCGCGCGGTGAATTTTGGGCGGAGTAGCAAGGAATAAGCCTTTCCCACGGTCCTGTATCTCCATTCCTGGGCATGTTTGAGCGGGGGGACCACGACAACACTCGAGACAGCTGGGGGGCTGTGTCCATACACCCTCAATGTGTTGAAAGCGTACCATTAGTGTCTTAAAGCAAGGAAAGTGTGAGTTTCCCCACCGTTTCATTCTTGGCGATCAGGTTTCTCTCTTCTTTCTTTATCTCCTCCATGGTTTTGTCAGCACTTTTTATAATTTTCAAGTACTCCTGGAAGGTGGCTGGTAAAGCTGCAAGCACATTGGCGATCCGCTGCTCAAGCTGCTTGAAGCTTGCATCCTTTTCGGCTCTGAATTTCTTCACCTGCTCCTGAAAAACAGAAGTCTCCTGAAAAGCTGCGTTGTCACGGTAAACAGGAGGAGCTGGAACGTACTGTGCGATTATACTTTTTTGCCCAAGCAGCGATTTTCTCCTGTTCCTGAGCGAGTGTGAGATTTCTGCCAACAATGATGTCATCGTACTCGACTCGGCCTTTGAGGGTAATACCCTTCATGAATGGCAAACGGTAGTCTCTCTGATAAAAAGTGTATCTGGAGCTTTTGCTTTCGCTAGCAGCGACGGAAGCTGCGACGGCTGCGAGCAAGATAAGACAGGTTTTCATTCTGCAAAAATCAAATTTGACAAGAATACAGGTTTTGTTCACTTGAGAAAACTTTCATAACAATGAAGCGTAGTTGGGAGTAGGGTGCGTTGCTTGGAAGAGGTACTGAAGAGAAAAGTGACGTTGCATGCCTAGCATGATAGACTTTTATAGAGCTCTTTTAGTGTTCAAGGTGGAATATTCAATTGTGATATGCACATGTTAATCGTCTTTGCCATAATCAAACAGCCCACTGAGCATTACTGAACTGAATTCGAATACTGATGAATTCCTTCCACGTCTTGGAAGTTTCCAAGTAGTTTCTCTTAGCCTTGGAGTTGCTCTTCTTATTTATCAAAAGTACCTGAAGTAAGGGTGGCAAAAATACGCGCGTCATAAAAAATGAGAAAAGGTACTACATCCAATTTTTTTCCTCGTCTGCTCTTAAGAGAATTATTTTCATGAAAGTGCGAGCGAAGGAATTCTACAAATCTAGAGAATTTTCGAGGATAGTGCCATCAGTTTTGATACAGGTCTCAGTTCGTTCCTTCATGTGGTCAATAGTGCGAAGTCTGGGACATAGCCATGTCCGGAAACCAGCATTTTCAAAATTTGTCTATTTTATGAAATCATCCGAAATTTGACGTTTGACTCCTTAGTCAATCCCTATACATGCGAGCCTATAGAATTCATATCTGGGCTGCTGCAAAAGTCTTTGGTCAGAAAGAAACCGATTTTGGTAAGGAGGAAGTAGATTGGTGATTTGACCCTATAGCTTAAATCATAATCGTGTTAGTAGATGAGCTTAGACTAAGGTTGTTACTGACTTAGATATTTTGCATGAACAGGTGTGCATAGAAGGTTCACAATGTCTTCAGTTGCCTCGCGCTTTCTCGTAAGTTCTCGCTACCCTGTATAATACCTGGGCTCACTTGCCCACTAGTATAGAAAGCGTTTGATAGGCCATTTACAAAGGTGCTGGGTAATGGAAAACTGCAAAGGTAGTGGGTAATTGCCGCGGCAACGAACATAACAACTAGGAAATGGAAGAATTCAAGCTCCCTTCAATTGTTTGACTTCAATAAATATTTTCCGTTTCATTGACTCATAGTTGTGTAGAAGCGACACCATATGATACGGCACGACATTGAGTACATCACATTCTATGCAGTCTTGATTGTTGCCTGATGCTGGGCGTGTCAGGAGAATGT